TTCAACGAGAGCTTGCTGTTCTTCCTCCCCAAATCCTCCAATGCTGCCGCCCCGGATGGCACCCCGGCGTACGAGGCACAGAATGTCCGGCCCTTGAACGTCACGAATTGCGACAACCGTCTGATCGCCAGCGCTGTCCGGATCGCGCTGGAGCACAAGATCGCGCCTACGATCACGCAGGCCCAACGGGGGTTCTTACGAGGGCGCTCCATGCTGGCCAACGTCGCGGACGTGGACGAGGCGATGGCGATGGCGGCCTTGAGCGGGGACACGGGCTTGGCCTTCTCCTTTGACCTGGCGGCCGCGTTCCCGTCGGTGGAGCACAGATTCTTCGTGGCTTTCTTCGAGTCGCTGGGCTGGCCCGCTTGGCTCCTCAGAATCATCCGCAACCTGTGCCACCGTAACTTCTGTTGGATTTTCTTGGCTGGGGAACGCATGGAGGGATTTTCTTTGACACGGGGCATCCGGCAAGGTTGCCCTCTCTCACCCTTGCTATTCGCCATGGCAACGGACCTCATCCTCCGACGTTTGTCCAGGACCACACCGGGCGCGACCATCAGGGCTTGGGCGGGCGACATGGCGCTAGCACTGCCCAACTTCCGCGACAGGCTCGGGGCCCTCCAGGAGTTTTTCCTTGAACTGCAAAGGGTGGCTGGCCTGCGCCCCAACGTTCCCAAGACGGTCGCGGTGCCTCTGTGGCAGTTCGAGGAGGACGAGTTGCGGGCCATCCTGGTGAACGGGGCTCCCGAATGGGGCGGGGTCAAGATCTCTTCCTGCATGAAGTACTTGGGCTTCATGGTGGGTCCTGGCCGGAAAGACACTTCATGGTCCGCCCCTGTGGCCAAGCACATCGACCGGGCACGTCTTTGGGGCTCCCGGGGATTGGGACTTCTGCTCACCCTGCAGGCATACAGGGTGTTCATCTCATCCACCCTGCAGTTCGTGGCGCAGTTGGAAGAGCTACCAGGCGATTTCAAGGAGATGGAGGAGAGGGCGGCGCGCCTACTGCTGCCTGGCCCAGGGGGCTGGCTGTCTGCGGCCGCGGCCAAGGACTTGAAGGCGGTTCACTTTCCGGACCAGCTGGTGGACATGTCTGCTGTGGCCGTGGCCGCCAAAGCCCGGGTCCATCGATTCGAGGCGGACTCCATGGGAGGTCTGCAAGTGGAGGACCGCATCCGTCGATTGGAGGAACCACCACTGGCTCACTGCTCCCTGGCCCACAGCGCCTGGGTGTCGCAGTGGGTGCGCAACTCGTTCTTGCACATCTTGTCCCGGGCGGCTGCTCACGCCAGCATGCTGCTGCAGCGCGCCGCCGGCGTGCGCTCGTGGATCAGCCTGCAGGCGGGATGGCAGGGCCAGATGACGAAATTGCTGGCTGTCGGCTGCAGGGGCGAGGCCCTGCGGCACTTCCGCCGGAAGCTGGACAGGTGGTGGTTGGACGTCCTCCCCGGCCGACGAGTGGGCAGGGCGCTGAGGGTCTTGGACGTCCTTGCCCGCCGTTCCGCACCTCGGATTCAGGCCGCGTTCATCCGGACGGTGACCAATGGTTGGTGCACCCGGCATCGTTTTCAACAGCGAGGCCATTGCCCCTTCCGCTGCGGGGCCGAGCGGGACTCCATCGAGCACCTGGCGTGCTGCAGCGCGGTGCGCGCGCTCCTTTCCACCCACCTGCACGGCGGCAGCTTTCGGTCGCCGCAGATGCTCGACGATTTTCTTTGCCTTTCTTTGCATGCCTCCGAGGAGGAAGTTGTGTCGCGCGGAGTGGGGCTCTACGCCATCTACCGCTTATTTCATGCCCTCAGAAACGGCGGCCTGGCCCACAACGACTTGTGGGGGGCCTTCCGTCAATGCGCCCAGTTTGCGCTCTAGGCAGCTTTGGCTCCTGCGCGGGACAAGGTCCGGCCGCGTTTTGTGCTTATCCTTGCAGGGGCGTGGGGATAGCTTTCGGGCACGCGGTGGCCTTTCGTACCTTTCAAGTTTATATATCGTTTTTGGGGTGTACCGGCCTATCCTCGATTTGATGCCGGCCCCCGATGTTGCCCCCTCCTCTCCTCGTCCTCTTCCTCCTCCTCCTCCTCCTCCTCTCCTCCTCTCCTCTCCGCCTCGCCCTAGTGTGCATGATGTGGGAAGTACCAATGGCTGTCTAGGCCTTGGGGGGTACAGGCACATGGCGCGCTTCGTTCCTCTGTTTCGGCGCAGCCGGCGTTAAAACTGTTAAAGCAGTTTCCGCCCAATCCGGCGTTAAAACTGTTAAATCAGTTTGCGCCCACTTCCGAATGCCACGGAGCCTAAAACAAAAAACAAAAAAAATCGTTGAGATCTCGTGGGGGCCTCTCGGGGGCCTTTTGTAAGCAGTTTGGAGGCCTCTTGGGGGTCGTTTTGGAGCCTCTTGAAGCCTCTTTTAGGTTTCTGGTATGCCTCTGGGGGGGGGGGGGGGGGGGGGCATCTTGGAGTCTCTTGGGAGCCTCTTGGGGGCTTCTTGGGGCCTCTTGGGCGCCTCTTGGTGCCTCCTGGGGGCCTCTTGGGGCAGACGGCTCGGATTTTCGGTTCATGTTTCCTCTCGTCGGCCCCTGTTGGGGCCGTTTGGGGGCCCTCTTGGGCCGTTTTAAGGGCCTCTTGGGCCGTCTTGAGGAGCTGTGAGGCCGTCTAGGGCCTCTGCCGACTTGGGGTGGTCTTGGGGACCTCTTGGATCGTTTTGGAGCGTCGGGAACCGGAAAACACCAGAACGCCCACATCTATCAAACCATCACGGGAAAAGCAAACATATTGTTTTTGCCTCTTGGGACCCTCTTGGGAGGCCTTTTGGAGGCCTCTTGGGGCTTCTTGGAAGCCTCTTGGGCCATTTTGAAGCCGTTTGGGGTGTCTTGGGGCGATCTTTTAGCGTCTCGGAGGCCTCTTGGATAGTCTTGAGGTCCTCGTGGGGCCCTCTTGCCCCGTCTTGGGGCCCTCTTGGAGCCGAAAAAGTCATGCGAGAAGATGCAGGGAACCCGAGGGGGCACGCGAGAAGCATTTGGTGTCCGGGCCCCGACTCCTTAGGAGTGAGGGTATAGGCTTAGAGGATGGGAGGAAGTGCCTGAGAGCACGCCCACTCCGTGCCCAGAGGCACGGTGGCGGATCATAGGGGGCAGGAATTTTCAGTTTGATGCTTAGGGCTTAGGGGTTAGGCCAAAGAGGACCAACAAGAGCTTGCGCGGATTACTCCCCCCCGCCCACATCCCATCCTGTCAGATTGCACCACCAAGTCAACGCAGTCTTGAATCCTTTGCACGACGACGACGATGACGGGTAGCAGCAAATGCTGCCACCTTCGCGGTCGACGTCGACGACGACACGGACGGCGACGACAACGACGACGACGATGATGAGCAGCGTGTTGCCACCCACGATAATTGCAGCACGTATTGCCAGCCTCGAGGTCGACGACGACGATGGCGACGATGACGTCTCACGATGACGACGACGACGACGACGACGACGACGACGACGACGACGACGACGACGACGACGACGACGACGACGATGATGATGATGATGATGATGATGATGATGATGATGATGATGATGATGATGATGATGGTGATGATAGTGCTTATGATAATGTTGATGACGGCGAGGTTGGTGATGTTGATGATGACGATGACGATGATGGTGATGGTGATGATGATGATGGTGATGGTGATGATGATGATGATGATGATGATGCTGATGTTGATGCTGATGCTGATGCTGATGCTGATGCTGATGATGACGACGACGGCGACTTCCATCGTGAAAGATTTAGGCCGTGTGTGTGCGCAGAAAAACATAATGTGTACACAGGATCGTTGAGGTTGAACGCCTGCGAAAGCAATGTTGAGATCAGCAGATTTGCACCGCATGGTGTTATCGTTTCGTTAAGTGTTGTTTGTTCGATCGTAAGCGGCACGCATGTCCATCGCGAAGACTGTAGATCGGGACTGCGCAGAAGTGCATGTTATTGGATCGTGAAGGTAAGGGCTGGGAAAGGAGACTGCAAGATCAGGATGAGCGGGGGGAGGGGGGGGAGGATGAGGAGGAGGAGGAGAAGGAGGAGGAGGCGGAGGAGGAGGAAGAGGAGGAGGAAAATGCGGAGGAGGAGGAGGAGGAGAAGGAGGAGGAGGAGGAGGAGGCGGAGGAGGAGGAGAAGGAGGAGGAATAGGAGAAGGAGTTGTTGTTCCCTCGCGAAACTGGTGCCTGGCTCGAAACGGTGGGCCAGAGGCAATCGAGCCAATGGCCATGGCTCGGAGGCGCATGCACCGTAGACCTGGGCCGAGAGGGGCCAGTGCGCGATGATCATCGCGCTCTGGCCTCACTTGGGACGCTTACACTGAAGAAGGCGGTGCATATTGTGCTGGGCAGTTTCATTACGCTGGCTGCCGTCCACGCTGAAGCTGGGGCAAGCTTTACCCAGCCCCAGCGCCTTCGAGGTGGCATACGGGCAGCACTTCTTGCAGAATAGGAGGGTGTCACCGACCTCGGCCTCGGGCCGAGGGGTGAGGTGAGAGGATGAGGGGGAGGAATGGAGGTTGTGGAGGAGGAGGAGGAGGAGGAGGAGGAGGAGAACGTTTCGAGGTTAGGACCGAGCTTTTGGATCGCTCTTGGTTGTCCTTGGGGACACGACGCGGTCAAAGGAGTTGTGGGGAGAGGGGGCGAGGAGAAAAAGAGAGCGATGGAGGAGAAAGAGAAGGAGCTAGGAGGTTGACATAGAGAGGAAGGGGGAATGTGCACAAGATTCTGGAGTGGAGTGGGGAGGAGAGGGAGGTGGCGGCTGCGGAGGAGGAGGAGGAGGATGCGTTCCAGGAGGATGAGGAGGACAAGGGGGGAACGAGGGCGGGAGGCCACGAGGAAGGAAGGGGAGAATGGACGCCGAGCAGGGATGAGAGGCCGCTGGAGGGCGAGCGAGGGAGGCGAGGGGAGAAACGGAGGGATCATGGCGAGGCGGGGAGGCAGGAGGAGGTGGACGTGCTCCGCCCGTCGACCAGATGGCGTACGATCGGCACGGTGACTTCTCTGGCCCGCTGACGCTGCAGCTGTATGATGTCCTCAACCCCCGCGTCTCCAAAAAAGGGCGCGCCCCGACCTCTGTCCGACGACGACGTCCTCGCGTGCCCAGTCTTGCCCCCCGCCTCCCTCCCCCCGCTCCCCTCTCCCTCCAGTCCCTCGCCCTCCCCCGCCCAGCCCTTCTTTCTCCTCCCCACTCCAGCTCCCCATTCCTCGCGTGCCGCCATGCTCTCCTCACCCTCCGCGGCCGCTTCCCCTCCCCTGCCCAACCCTTCTCCCCCCCCTTCCTCCGCGCTGCGATCAAGCCCCCACTCCTCGCGCGCCGATCTGCTCCCCTCACCCTCCGCGCCTCTCCATGCTCCCCTCTCCACCTCCCTCCGGCACCTTTCACCCTCCCGCGTCCGCCCTTTCTCTCCTCCCCCCCCCGCCCTGCACTCCTCCGGCTCCCATCCTCCCGCGCCCGCCCCTCCTACCCTTCCCGCACACCCAGTCACCTGTGCACACCCAGTTGAGCCCTCTCCCCCTCCGCCTAACACCCGCCTCCTCCGCTGGCCCTCTTGGTACCCTCCCTTTTTCCCACACCCACCCTCCCCACCGTCCTGGGCCTCCGTTGGAGACAGGCCAGTCATGGCCCCAGCCCCCTTCCCGCCTGCCCGCCCGCCTGCTTCGTCCCGCCGGCCCGGGCCTCTCACCTGCACGTTTGTCGTCGTCTGCTTGCTTCTCGTGCTTTTGCTCCCTCCCCGCCGCCGCAACACAGGCTGCCAGGAGCTGGCCGCGGAACGCAGGCAGCGTTGGCCTTCAGAAGCGCGGCGCCTGCCCCCCAGGGCCGCCTCTTCGCCCCCCCCCCCCCCTCGGCCCTCGCTCCTAGTGGCCAGGGGCGACGACAGGGGGGACTGGCCAGGGGGCGGGGGGAGCATCGATCGCCCACTCAGCCCCGATGGGGACCTGGTAGCCCACCCCGCCCAGGAGCGCACGGTGTCGCTGTTTGGAGCTGCCGCCGATCTCTCGGCGATGCTGCGTCGATTCAAGCTCGATGGTTTCCCCTCACAGCCGGACCCCTCGAATGGTTCCCCGTCCTCCCCTCACCCCCGTGCTTCAAGCTCGATGGTTCCCCCTCTGAGCTGGGTCCCCCGAATCCTTCCCCTTCGTGCCTCCCCTTCCCCCCCCGCACGTGCCCCTTCCCCACCCCGCGCACACCTTGGTCGCCTCCCACCCCCCTTCCATCCCCGCCTCGCGCGCGAGGTCGAGTGGGAGCCGGGCGCGAACCGCGCGCTGGTGCGGGTCAGGCCGGCCCTCGCCCGAGAGGGGGGGCAGGAGGAGGAGGAGGAGGACGAGGACGAGGACGAGGACGAGGAGGAGGAGGAGGAGGAGGAGGAGGAGAAGGCGGAGGAGGAGATGGACCGATGGAGGAGGACGAGGACGAGGACGAGGGTGACGAGGAGGCGGAGGAGGCGGCAGTTGAGGAAGAGGGGGACGGAGCACGGAAAAGGGTGGATGGACGATGCGGTGAGGCTGCGGTGGGTGGAAGGCAGGAGAGCGACGGAAACGGGCTGCACGGGGGTAGACGGGGGACGGGGGGGGGAGAGGAGGGACGGGGGCTGAGGGAGCAGAGGGAGCAGCGCGAGACGGAGCGAGGAAGGATGAGGCTTAGAGCGAAGGTAAAATGGAGAAGTGCTGGTATGTTGAATCATTTCAAAGTTGCCGTAACATCGGTTGCGGAAATATGTGAACAGCAACATATACTCGACACGTGTAAACTAAATGGCATTATGTTATAAGGTGTAAGCGCTCAAGCGCAAGCAGTATTCGCGGCGCGCAGCGAGTACCTTGCTGGGAGAGCCGACTATCATGGCAGCTCAGGGCGATCATGTGTCCTGCAGCGGCGCGCGGGAGCGGCTTCCATGGTTCGGTTTTGGGGTCTCTCGCCGCGGGGGCGCGCCATGAATTGGCGAGGCGCGGGGCCTGGCGTCGCCCGTGCGCGTCCAACAAATTATTGGCGAAGGGCCCGCCCATCTGCAGTTCTGATCACAGTTTCTGGTGGAACTTCTTTTGGGGGCCAGGGAGCGCGTGACAGGGGCGTGCCGACATGAACCAGGGCCGCCGCGCGAGCGGTGCCAGCGGGGTCGGGGCTTTCAGCGGGGCTTCCTGCGGGGCCACGACACGCGTGACAGTTGCGCAAATATGCCGCGCCCAGCTTCGATGTCTGTTCATGGGAGCCTTGGGCGGCGACATTAAAAAACAGCTTTTCCTGCATGTGGACAGCGTGGGGACCGCATTTGGCCCATCCTCCTGCTCCTCCTCTCCCCTCCTGTTCCCCCTCCCCCTCCTCGTTCTCCTGCGTAGCCCCCACGAATCCAGCCCAAGTCTGGCCAAATCCGGTCCAAATTTGTTCCAAATCCGGTCCAAATCAGGCCCACATTGGACAGTGCCGGGGGCCACGCAAGCTCCCATAGAACGGACACCAAACCCAGCCGTCGCCGCTAGGGCCTTCGGCAAGGCCCCCCGTCGAGCCGCGAACTGCGTGAGGATTCTGCAGGTGCCGCGCGCGGCCGCCGCCTCTGGGGCCTCTGGTGGAGGTCCGTACGCGCGCGGCCGCTGACGCTGGGACCTTTCGTGGGTTTCCTTTTTCGGGCCATCGAACGCGCGAGGGGCGCGCGCGCGCGGCTGATGCCGCTGGGGTTTTTGATGGAGCCTGGGGAGTGCAAGTGCCGCGCGCGGCCGCTGCTACCGCGGCCTCGACGGAGTCGCCTGTGGGGCCGCGAAGCGTGCGAGGGGTGTGCAAGTAGGGCGCGCAACCTCTGCCACTGCGGCTTCCGGTTGGGGAAATGCTTGAGGGGCCTGCGAGCGCCGCGCGCCACCGCTGCCGTTGGGGGCATCGGTGGGCCCCCATCAGGGGCGACGGCTGGAGCCCCCGTCGGGACCACGGCATTTTTCCGCAGGGTCATTGCCCTGGAGCCACCGCCCCATGTCGGCTAAATTCTCTCGGGTGCATTGCCGCGGGGGGCGGCGCGGCGCAGATGTCATCTGCTGAGCCGCACGGCTGCGCCCCGCGCCTGGCGCGGCGCCCCCGGCCGCCCCCCGCCCGCCTGTCGCCGGGAGGCGGCTGGGCTCTCATCCCAAGGGCGCGTGGGGCAGGGGGGGGGGGCCAGGCCCCACGGGGCAGTCGCATTCTGTCGCGGGCCTCCCGGGGGCGTCGCGCTATTCCACCTCGCCCCCGCCAGCTGCCCCGGGGAATCTGTCATTTCGCGCGCATTTCTCTTGCATTTCCACCGATAGGGGCGGGCGCATTTTTCGCGCATGAATTATACATTGCGTCCAAAAATAGGCGCCTCCCCGGCCGCTTATTTTTACAACATGTGTCGCGTATTGTTGATGCAAAAATTTGCAACACAAGAGAGACGATTGTGCGAGCAATGCGCGCGCGGAGTCGGTGGGCGTCTCGCTAATTTGGGCCGCCTAACTTTTATATTTCAAATCCCGGGGGTTGCGAGTGCGGGGCTTCTTGGGTTTTTGCATGTCTGGGGGATTTCGGTCGGGGCACCTCGAACGCGCATCGCGGCCGCCCGGGGGCCGCTCCGATCGAAACCCCGCGGCGATTGCGCCAGCGTCTGGCGCGGAGCCTGGGGGGTATCTTTCGCAGCCCTGGGTCGCGGTGGCCATCTAGCAGCGATTTTGGGGGCCCTCGAATTTGCTGCCCGAGGCGCCGGCGCATTCGGCGCGGGCCGTGCTGGGTGCGAGCGGCGCCGTGGACTGGGGTCGCCGCGGGGGGTCGCGGCGCAGGCGGCCAGGGGGAACAATGGAGGTTAGTTTGAGGGGGCGGCGGGCAGGATGAAGAGCGCGCGAGGGGGGGGGGGGCGCGATCGGAAGGGGAGGGGGGGTCGGGGGGGAGGGGGAAGAGGGGCGGGGAACAGGGAGGCCCGCGTCGTCGGCGGCAGTCTGGGGGGCGTTCGTGCTGGCATACTCGCAAGTCGCAGCGGCGGCAGCCGCGCGGGCCGCGGCGGCGCGCTCTCGACGTCATCGGTGCGCGGGGGGACGCAGGACGTTTTGCCATCGGCATTCGCGCGACGATGGTGCAGTTGCCA